ATTTTCACAATTTTTACAATTTTCACAAAAAGATTCATAATTCACGCATTTTCAAAATTTTCACAATTTTTACAATTTTTCACAAAAGACTATAATTCACGATTTTCAAAATTTTCACAATTTTTCACACAAAAGACTATATTCATGCGATTTTCAAAATTTTCTCACAATTTTCAAAGACTATAATTCACATTTTCAAAATTTTCACAATTTTCACAAAGACTATAATTCACGCATTTTCAAAATTTTCAATTTTTCACAAAAGACTATAATTCATGCATTTTATAAAATTTTCACAATTTTTCACAAAAGACCATATGCAATTACATTTTCAAAATTTCAATTTTTCACAAAGACTATATCCACGATTTTTCAAAAATTTTCACAATTTTCACAAAGACTATAATTCATGCATTTTCAAAATTTTCATTCAATTTTTCACAAAAGACTATAATTCACGCATTTTCAAAATTTACATTTTTTACAAAAAGACTATAATTCACGATTTTCAAAAATTTTCACAATTTTTCACAAAAGACTATAATTCAATGATTTTCAAAATTTTCACATTTTTTTACAAAAGACTATAATTCATGCATTTTCAAAATTTTCACATTTTTCACAAAGACTATAATTCACGATTTTCAAAATTTTCACAATTTTTACAATTTTTTTTCACAAAGACTATAATTCACGCATTTTCAACAAATTTTCACAATTTTTACAATTTTTCACAAAGACTATAATTCACACATTTTCAAAAATTTTCACAATTTTTCAAAAAGACTATAATTCATGCATTTTATAAATTTTTACAATTTTCACAAAAAAGACTATAATTCACACATTTTCAAAAATTTTCACAATTTTTCACAAAGACTATAATTCACGATTTTCAAAAATTCACAATTTTCACAAAGACTAGACCATCGCGATTTTCAAAATTTTCACTTTTTCACAAAAGACTATAATTCACGCATTTTCAAAATTTTCACAATTTTTACAAAAGACTAAAATTAATCAGATTTTCAAAATTTCACAATTTTTTCACAAAGACTATAATTCACGCATTTTCAAAAATTTTCACATTTTTTTACAAAAAGACCAAAATTCATGCATTTTCAAAAATTTTCACATTTTTTTACAAAAAGACCATAATTCACGCATTTTCACAAATTTTCACAATTTTTTACAATTTTTCACAAAAAGACTATAATTCACGCATTTTCACAAATTTTCACAATTTTTTACAATTTTTCACAAAAAGACTATAATTCACACATTTTCAAAAATTTTCACAATTTTTCACAAAAAGACTATAATTCATGCATTTTATAAAATTTTTACAATTTTTCACAAAAAGACTATAATTCACACATTTTAAAAAATTTTCACAATTTTTCACAAAAAGACTATAATTCACGCATTTTCACAAATTTTCACAATTTTTCACAAAAAGACTATAATTCACGCATTTTGAAAAATTTTCAATTTTTCACAAAAGACTATAATTCGCGCATTTTCACAAATTTTCACAATTTTTTACAATTTTTCACAAAAAGACTATAATTCACGCATTTTCACAAATTTTCACAATTTTTTCAAAAAGACATAATTCACATTTTCAAAAATTTTCACAATTTTTACAAAAGACTATATTACGATTTAAAAATTTTCACAATTTTTACAATTTTTCACAAAAGACTATAATTCACGATTTTCAAATTTTCACAATTTTTACAATTTTTCACAAAGACTATAATTCACGATTTTCAAAATTTTCACAATTTTTACAAAAGACTATAATTCACGATTTTCAAAATTTTCACAATTTTTTACAAAAGACTATAATTCACATTTTCAAATTTTCACAATTTTACAATTTTTCACAAAAGACTATAATTCACGCATTTTCAAAATTTTCACATTTTTTACAAAAGACTATAATTCACGATTTTCAAAAATTTTCACAATTTTACAATTTTTCACAAAAGACTATAATTCACGCATTTTCACAAATTTTCACAATTTTTCAAAAAGACTATAATTCACGCATTTTCAAAATTTTCACAATTTTTCAAAAAGACTATAAACACATTTTCAAAATTTTCACAATTTTTCACAAAAGACTATAATTCACGCATTTTCAAAATTTTCACAATTTTTCACAAAAGACTATAATTCATGCATTTTAAAAATTTTACAATTTTTCACAAAAGACTATAATTCACATATTTTAAAAATTTTCACAATTTTTCACAAAAGACTATAATTCACGATTTTCAAAAATTTTCACATTTTTACAAAGACTATAATTCATGCATTTTCTTTCACAATTTTTACAATTTTTCACAAAAGACTATAATTCACGATTTTCAAAAATTTTCACATTTTTTACAAAAGACTATAATTCACGATTTTCACAATTTTCACAATTTTTACAATTTTTCACAAAAGACTATAATTCACGATTTTCACAAATTTTCACAATTTTTACAATTTTTCACAAAGACTATAATTCACACATTTTCAAAATTTTCACAATTTTTCACAAAAGACTATAATTCATGCATTTTATAAAATTTTACAATTTTTCACAAAAGACTATAATTCACACATTTTAAAAATTTTCACAATTTTTCACAAAAGACTATAATTCACGATTTTCAAATTTTCACAATTTTCACAAAAGACTATAATTCACGCATTTTCAAAAATTTTCAATTTTTCACAAAAGACTATAATTCATGATTTTCACAAATTTTCACAATTTTTACAATTTTTCACAAAAGACTATAATTCACGATTTTCACAAATTTTCACAATTTTTCAAAAAGACTATAATTCACACATTTTCAAAAATTTTCACAATTTTTACAAAAGACTATAATTCACGATTTTCAAAATTTTCACAATTTTTACAATTTTTCACAAAAGACTATAATTCACGATTTTCACAAATTTTCACAATTTTTACAATTTTTCACAAAAGACTATAATTCACGATTTTCAAAATTTTCACAATTTTTACAAAAGACTATAATTCACGATTTTCAAAAATTTTCACAATTTTACAAAAGACTATAATTCACCAATTTTCACAAATTTTCACAACTTTTTACAATTTTTCACAAAAAGACTATAATTCACGCATTTTCACAAATTTTCACATTTTTTTACGAAAAGATTATAATTCACGATTTTCAAAAATTTTCACAATTTTTTACAATTTTTCACAAAAAGACTATAATTCACGCATTTTCACAAATTTTCACAATTTTTCACAAAAGACTATAATTCACGATTTTCAAAAATTTTCACAATTTTTCAAAAAGACATAATCACACATTTTCAAAAATTTTCACAATTTTTCACAAAAGACTATTTCACGCATTTTCAAAATTTTCACA